AGTATGTAGGCATTACTATTAACCTTTGATATTATCTTAAATGGTTCGATGTTTCGAGCATGCAACTTCTTTACGGCGCCCGGAGAAAAAGTTCTAGGCGGACCTGTACCATCACAAAGTCTCCAACTTTGAATTCTTTGGACCTTCTTTTGTTATCAGCAATAATTTTAAAATGGGTGTTACTTTGTTCAAATTTCTTTTTAATTTCGTTGAGTAACTCCAGAAGGTGAAATGCAGATGTAAATGCAAGAGATCGAGTGTGCATGATGAATGACAAGACTCATGAGCTTACCAAAGTTTAAAACATAGACAAATAGGAAGACAATAGACCACAAAACACATACACAACATACTAACTCACACAAACACATGGCTAGAAAAAAGGTGGATGAGTCACGAGAAGAGGGTCTAAAGTGTTTGGTCTAAGGGAACTGGTGTAGGGGGAGGAATGAAGACACTCTTAGCTACCAGGACACTTCTATAGGTGATTTTTGTAGGGTCGACAGCAGTCTCCTAGTGGGGGTAGTGTCATCTAATAAATTCATCCAACTAGGATAGAAGTGGTCCTTATCCTGGTAGGACGAGGCTATAACGGGCAAAATGTATGAATCAGGAATGACACACTCGGCCAAATATAAATCCAATTGAGCAGCTCTAAAGTTAGACTCTAATGAAACAAGAGGGGGCTCATTGCTCAAATCAGGCTCAAAAACTTTCAGACTCAAAGTACTGTCTTCTGAAAGAGACTCAGGTTTGGTTGCAACCCTAAGATCCATGGGTTTCGTTTCACTTAAATCAGGTGATAAATTCGATTGACTTACTTCCAACTCGATATCATCTAAGTCGCCATCAGAATTATCCAGAATTAAATCAGAATTATCCAAAACTAAATCAGAACTATCCAAAATTAAATCAGAATTATCCGGAGTCATCTCAGTAGGTGTTACAACTAAATCAGGATCTTCCAAATTTAAATTTAAAGTGTTCGAAGTCCGATTGACTCCTTTCGAGATCACATTACTATCATCCAGGCATACTTTGTCCAAATGCTTATCCTCGAGGAGACTAGGATCGGGGTGGACTAAGGTGTCGACGTTTAAAGGTCCTAGCTTTCCTAGTTCAGGGTTTAAGTCATTCAGGGAGTCTGATTCAATTACTTTTGTTCCATCATCAAAGAAGTCTTCGTTATCCTTAATATCATTAGCATCCACGAAATGGATGCACTTAGCTTTAGGTTCAGAGGATGTTTTCTTGTTAATGCATTTCTCTATCAAAAGTACACTTGCAGGGTCAAGGACTGGGAGGCTAAAGGTTGACTGGTATCACGTGGATGCACTTAGCTTTAGGTTCAGAGGATGTTTTCTTGTTAATGCATTTCTCTATCAAAAGTACACTTGCAGGGTCAAGGACTGGGGAGGCTAAAGGTTGACTGGGATCACTAGAAGTGGGTCTCAGTGGGGAGTCATAAGAGGTTGATCTATCAGAAGACCCAATAGAGGATCGGCCATTAAGGTTAGGTGAAGACCTACAGGGTGGGGCAGCAACCCTGATGTTATTAAATGAAGGTTGGTTTCGACTATAGTGATGTCCATGGTTTGTCCCAATGAAAGAGGTAGGGTGATGCTCTAGATGGCAGTCACTAGTAGGGGGGGTCGGTTTTTCAAATTAAGTTCTCGTCTCATGTCTTTCCAAGTAAGGTACTCACCGCGATACTCTTTATGATCTTCAAATTTTATCCAAAATTGAAGAGCTCGACCTTTAAGGTGAGACTTAGCGATGCTAATCTGGTGGGACTCAGGGATATGACATGATTCAAAATAGTCATCTAGTTGTCTAACCCATTCCCTAAAGCAGTAAACGTCCAAAGAACCATCAAAGGTAGGCAGACGATATGATGATTCTAAGTGAGGTCGTGGAGGCCTAGGCTCAGGTCTCGGGCGATAAGCTGAGTGGGCATGTAATTAGAGCGGGGATAGTCAACGGGTTTCTCCGTCATAATTCTAGTCATATTGTCCACTAGGTTAATGATGTCATCTAAACTCTTTTGGAGTCTTATCGGATCCATGGGTAAGTGTCAAGTGAAACCTAATTAAGATTGGGTGCAAGGTACCACACTCTACAAGGAGAAAACACCATTTCGACTTACTATATGGTGAAGGAAAATTACTGGACAGCAATCTAAAATGATAGACGAAGTTATCTACGCAATTTAGATGGACTCTAGGGTGTGAACAGCAAGTTATCACAAGTTTAAAGTCACCTAAATGTCACTAAACAGTGCAGGAATGAGGTGGACAGCAAACTACAGCCGTTTGTTTAAGTTGTCTAGGTGTTAGGAAGGTTTCGAGGGAGTGGACAGCACTCAAACGAAGGCTAAAAGTTCACTAAACGATGGCTAAAAGCTGCTGGAACAGTGAGGACAACAGTCAAACTCAAGGGTGTGGTTGCCCTAAGCAATTAGAAACAATGTAGGTTTGAAGGCAGCACTTAAACACATGATTATGCTAATGTAAGATGAAATAATGCAGAATTTTCTGGATAGCAGTAGAAAAACAGTAAATAAAACTATCTAAATGATGTTATGCATGCGAACTACTAAGGCTAATTTAAAGTGGATTCCTAGGATGCATCTAGCAAAGGGAAAGCATGCTAGCCATGCTCTGATACCAAGATGATGTGAAACAAACATGCGATGGAGTTACTTTAAGGAAATTAAAGAGAGCAATTTTAACAAAATAATCCAAAATAAATATATCCCTTATAGCAAAAGATTGATCCTTGGAATTCGTGGTTTTTAACTTGCTTAGGTTAAGAAGAGCGGAGTCGATTAACCAAACAATTTAAGAAAATGCAAAGATCAATTGTAAAACTACGACGATAAATAAGAATCCGTGATTTAATAATGAGAACTTTCACCTTTGAAGCCCAAACGCTCAACTAGTCTTGGCTTTAGCGGAAGAAGAGTCTCCACATTAGAACCGAGGTCACTCCGAGGAAGGAGCCTAAGATCATTGTTCTTGGATAGTTGGCCGGAGTGGTAGAGGATGGCGGTCGTCCAAGGATGATCCAACGTCCCTTTGATCTTTGCTCGCCGATCACATCAACTAATGTGTACTGGATGCGGTCGATGTAATCTTTAATAGTGTCGTCGAAATCGAAGCCCACATCAAAGAACGGTGATTGGAAGATGTCAACTTGACCTTGGTCGTCGTGCACAAATCCAAAGTTCCATTCGGGCTCCGCCATGCATCCTCGCCAAGGGTTGAATGAGTACTCAGTAGGGGTGTCAATTTCGGGTCACGGGTCGGGTTCGGGTCGAACCCGAACTGACCCGGGTGCGAAACAGGTCGACCCTAACCCGAACCGGTAGAGAAACGGGTCGAAAAACCGAACCCGGACCCGACCCGGCGGGTTGCCGGTTGACAACGACCTCGAACCCCGGGTTGTGGCCCGCCGGCACCCGGTCGGCCGGCCCGCGGCACCGGCCCGGCTCAGAGCTGCGGCCGGTTTCTATTTAGGACTGCCGGAAGACAGCGGATGGTGAGGCTGGCACAAGATGGGGAGGGAGAGTAGGGGCATGGGTAAGCCTGGAGTGGGGGGCAGAGTAGGGGTGGGGGGGTTAGCGGGGGGGGAGACGGTTTGATTTTCGTACGGGGTGGCGGGTAGGAATATCCGTGGAAGTGTAAAGAGTGTCTGAAGGTGGTTGACATATAATTAGATTTCGCTCTGTGACAAAAAATTTTACAGAGAGCAAC